TTGGGACACATCATTGGTGGGGGCAAAATCCGCATGGATCCGGCCAAAATCAAAGCTATCGTGGAGTGGGAGGCACCCACGAAGCCAACGGAGCTGAGATCGTTCTTGGGGCTTGTTAATTACTATCGGCGGTTCATTGAAGGACACTCCGCCATAGCCGCTCCATTAACGGATCTCTTGAAGAAGGGGCAAGCTTGGTGTTGGACACCAAAACACCAAACAGCGTTCGAGGCTTTAAAGGACGCCGTCACTCGAGAGCCAGTCCTAGCTCTCCCTGATTAGAAACCGTTCGAGGTGTGCATGGATGCTTCGGACTTCGCCATTGGGGGCGTTCTCATGCAAGATGGCCACCCGATCGCCTTTGAAAGTCGCAAGTTGAATGAGACCGAGAAAAGGTGGCCGACGCACGAGAAGGAGATGTTAGCTATAGTTCACTGCCTTAGAGTTTGGGAGCACTACCTAAAGGCCGCCACACCGTTCAAGATCAAGACGGACAATCGGGCAGTGAGCTACCATCAAAGCCAACCTAAACTTTCAAGCAAGCAAGCACGTTGGTTGGACTTCTTGGCCAAGTTTAAATATGAGCTTGAGTATAGCCCGGGGAAGACTAACCACGTGGCCGACGCACTAAGCCGAAAGGCGTGTCTTGCTCCAATCGTTAGCATACCCGAGGGGACGCTGGTTGATCGCATCAAGAAGGGTCTTGAGCACGACCGTCAAGCCCAAAGGTTCATGGAGCTCGTGAAGGAAGGCAAGACAACGCGGTTCTGGCTTGACGATGGGATACTTTATGCCAAAGGGAACCGTTTATACGTGCCCGCATGGGATGGACTTAGAAGGGAGATTCTAAGGGATTGCCATGATAGCCGTTATGCGGGTCACCCAGGTACGCATCGCACACTTGCCTTAGTACATGAACAGTTCTATTGGCCTCGCATGCGGGAAGATGTGGAGACGTATGTAAGGACTTGTCTAGTTTGCCAACAAGACAAGACCGAGCAAGACCACCCGCATGGCTTGTTATCAACCTTGCCTATTCCGGAACGCCCGTGGGACAGCGTTTCGATGGATTTCATCGTGAGCCTGCCCGTTTCTGAGGGTTGCACCAACATACTTGTTGTGGTAGACCGTTTGTCTAAGTATGCGGTCTTCATTCCCGCCCCAAAAGAGTGCACCGCGGAGATAACGGCCAAACTCTTTCTTAGGCATGTGGTGAAGTATTGGGGGCTGCCTACATCGATCATAAGCGACAGGGACTCGAGGTTCACCGACCGTTTTTGGCAAGAACTCTTTCGTTTGCTTGGGACGGAGCTCAAGATGTCTACATCTTTGCACCCGCAAACAGATGGGCAGACGGAGCGTATCAACGGCCTCTTGGAGGTGTACCTCAGGCACTATGTGGCAGCCAACCAGAAAGATTGGGTACGTTTGCTAGACGTTGCCCAATTTTCCTATAACTTGATGCGGAGTGAGAGCATGGGCAAAAGTCCGTTTGAGATTGTCCTTGGTTTCCAACCGACTAGGCCTAAGGACATTCTTGGGGGCTACAAGGGCAATAGCCCACCCACATACAAGTTTGCCAAAGATTGGCAAGAACGAGCCGACGAGGCAAAACTCTACTTAGAGAAGTCGGCAACGCGCATGAAGAAATGGGCGGATAAGAAACGGACCCGTCGCGAGTTTGAAGAAGGCGACCAAGTCTTGGTAAAACTTTATGAGCATGGTCAGAGCCGTGGTTTACACAAGGGTCTCATGCGCAGATACGAGGGTCCTTTCACCGTTCTCAAGAAAGTGGGTTCGGTTGCTTACAAGCTGGAGCTACCCGAGGCCTTTTCAAGGCTTCATCCAGTCTTTCATGTGAGCCTACTTAAGCCATACCGCAAGGACCTAGAGAACGAAGAACGGAATGTTTCCTCAAGGGCACCAGCTGGCGTACGCGAGCATGAGGAACGGACCGCAGAGGAGATCCTTTCTAAGAGGATCGTTCGGGGCAAGAGCGACTAAAGAATACTTGGTGAAATGGAAGAATTTGCCAATGAGTGAGACGAGTTGGGAGCCAATCGAGAAGCTTTGGCAATTCACCAAATTGATCGAGGACTTTGAGGAGAATCGTGCATCCGTTCCTATAAACATTGCCTTCGAGACTTAGGTGCATCGGGGCGATGCACCATTTTGGTGGGGGAGGATGTCACGGACAGTTTTTCTTCACCACGAATTCGGGTGGTTTGATGCGAAACGGGCTATTTTCGTAGACGGACATGTGACGGAACGGTCTAGAGCCTTGTGGAATTCTCCGGTCAAATCTTGAAGACTCTGGAATTTTCTAGAGAGGCTCGGAACTCTCTAGAAACGGGTGGAACCATGTGGAAGATTCTAGAGACTTGTCGATATTTTGAACTTAGAATATTTTATTGTTGGAATTTTCTAGAATTCCATTATTTTATTATGTACATATAATTCTCTAGAATTCTTTAGGACTTGGGGTTTGCCTATAAATACCCCATGCCCCCTTCATTTGTAAGCATCCAAGCTTTGAGTAGAGTTCTCAAGCATTCCTTAAGCTCTCTTGTGCCTTCATCGTTCTTTCACTTTCAACCTTTCTTAAGTTTTTCTTTGCCTCCGTTCTTTAAAGTCTTGCCTAGCTTTGCACGCTTTGGGGGTCTTAAGGCTGAGCTAGCACTTGATCGTTAGCTGTTTTGTGCTAGTGCCGCACGGCCGTTACTTTGAAAAAGTAAGCCCGTGACACTAGCAAAGCCAACAACGTCTCGAGAAATCAAGGAAATCAGGGAATACGATGCTGAATACTCCTACGCCTTACGTTTTGGTTTCCTAGTTACCAGTATTGTCGCTGAATACGGAGCAATGATCACGGGATTGAATATGGCTCTCAAGTTAGGAGTTCGAAACTTGCAAGTTTTTAACGATTCTCAGGTGGTTATCAAGCAAATCAAAGGCAATTACATGGTCCACGAGGAACACCTCCGACCATATCTCGAGAAGGTTCTCGAGATCAAAGACAAGTTTGAGGAATGCTCTATTTCCCATATCCTCAGAACCAACAATAAAAGAGCTGACGCACTGAGTAAGCTTGCTTCGTCTAATTTCGCTAATCTCAGTCACAAGGTTTGGGTTGAGATACTCCCCGAACCCAGCATTCAGTCCAAAGTTTCCCTGGCTATTACCAAGGATAAAGATACATGGATGACGCCATTCATCCAATTCCTCGAAAATGGAACGCTCCCCGATAACAAGTACGAAGCTCGAGCGTTGAAGCTAAAAGCAGTGAAGTACACTATGAGAGATGAAATCCTCTACAAGCATGGGTATTTGTTGCCAATGTTACGGTGTGTTGGACCAAAGCAAGCAGCGTATGTCCTCGAGGAAGTCCACGAGGGATCATGTAGAGCCCACATAGGAGCAAGTAGCTTGGCCAAAAAGGTCCTTCGAGCAGGATACTTCTGGCCCACAGTTTTTAAGGATGATTATCACTTCGTGCAAAAGTGCGACAAATGTCTGAGGTTTTCACCGATAACCCGACAGCCACAGCATGAGATGGTAATTATACAAAGTCCTTGGCCATTCTACCAATGGGGCACCAACATCATTGGCTCTTTTCCAAAAGGGGCAGGAGGGCTATGATGGGTTATCGTAGCTGTCAATTATTTCACCAAGCGGGTGGGGGCAAAACCATTGGCCTCAATATCAGGAAGGAAAGTGTTGAATTTTTTCTAGCAAAACGTAGTTTGCCGGTTCGGAGTGCCCAAGATAATTGTATCAGACAATGGGATCTCTTCAAGTCATGGTGTGCGGAGATGCTGATCGAGCGTCGATTCTCTGCCGTTGCTCATCCGAAAGCAAATGGTCAAGCTGAGTCAATCAACAGAACCATTCTACATGGAATTAAGACAAGGCTGCACAACGCCAAAGGAGCATGGGTCGATGAACTTTCTCATGTTTTATGGGTATATCGCACCACAACTCATTCCTCGACATACGAAACCCCATAAAGTGTAGTCTATGGAATGGATGCTATCCTCCCAGTCGAAATTGGCCTTGCAAGTCCTCGAACGATCAATTTTGTCAAAGACACCAACAATGAAGATATCCTGACTAACCTTGACCTGCTCGAGGAACGGCGAGATGCCGTAAAAGTTCAGAAAGCCAAATACAAAGAGATCCTCAGGAAAAACTATAATAAACGAGTCAAGAGCACCAATTTCGTAATCGGGGACTTAGTACTTAGAAAAAATGAAGCCAGTTGAGCAGAAAGCCCTGGGAAATTGACGGCCAACTGGGAAGGGCCCTATCGAGTCATTCAGGTCTCTCCGTCGGGCAGTTACCGATTGCAGACGACAGATGAAACGGGAACCATTCTCCCTCGATGGTGGAACATTCAGAATCTACGCAGGTTCTATGTTTAGATCCCGTACATGTTATTTGCCATTATATTTGCTGAGTGATTTGTTGCTTTCATTTATTTGTATGTAATGCTAACCCATGTCCTCGGGTAATTATTAATAAAAGTCATTACATATTTTTTCTATACATTGCATGTGTCGACACTATTTTACGACTAGTCGTCGAAATGGACACCCTTTATAGGGCCATTCTCAAATTGTGCCATGTATTCAACATCCGGACACTCAAGCCGAGGATCTCTCCTCGCACATACCGTAGATCGTAGTGTTGTTAATTGAGGGATCCGTATCCGATTCCTCAATAGTGCCACATACTTTACATTTGGCCAAGCAAGCGCTATACAAACATACTCGAGTACAAACAAATAACTGACGCTGATACAGCTCGGTGCAAATATAATGTCGTCACACTTAGTGCGGGGTAAGAAAAATGTATCAATATACACTTGATATATACCTAAATCTTAGATCTGTCCCCTTAGGGTTGAATCGGGAAGGCTTAATAATGCCAGAACATCCCATCACCCTAAGCCTATGGAGACATTGACTAAGTTTATCTTTTAAATCTAGAATCTCCCAATCTTAGTCGTTGATTCTAAGAAGATACTCCTCAGCGGCTGCCCTTTCCTTCGCTTCATCATCCGGATCAAGGTCCTCGAGAATGGGTAAGGAAATCTCGCTGTCCACCAGTATGTTCTGCAGAACGGTAGCCTGCTTCGAGTAGAACTCCACCTCTTTGGTCGTCTTCTTTAGGAGGTCAATTGCAGCGATAAAGCATTCTGTACGAACCTTTATCTTTGCCTCGACTAGAGCAAGCGTGTCGAACTTTTCGAGGAACCATGGGGACACAACAATATTCTCGCGCTTCCTCAGTCGAGCATTTTCCTTCTTTAGCTTCTCCATCTCCTCGTTAATGTTGGCTTCCAAAGGCAAGGAATCATGAAAGTCCAAGTCATATTGGTGGAGTCGACGCTTCCACTCTCCCTCTTGTTGGCTAAAGCAGTGCACCAAGCGGGAGTGTGCTCGAAGGTTAAGTGCATTGACAGCATCAGTAAGCTCTTTCTCGAGGGCTTTCACTATGTCAGTGTTGTGAACATCCCCAAATTTCCTCAACATTGAAGAAATCATCGCATACATGGGGAACCTGGCAACCTCGTCTTCCTCGAGGATCAATAGACGTACAAGATGAATGAAGTACGCATCCTGACATAACGGGCAGAAGTATATCAAATGTTAGAAGAAAGAGGCTCTGATCTAATTCATAATTGGTGAAAATTGTTCAAGAATCACTACAAGAAGAGAGTTCATACGTCATTTTGACCGGGAGGCTGGCTTGGCTGGCTTTCGTTTGTCTCCTCGACGGGGGTGGGAGCCGACGTCCCTTCCTTTTTTGACTCCTGGTCATTCTGCCCGTCCCCCTTGACTTGCTTAGAGGAATCCTCTTCCCATTCCACATCAACACCGATGAAATCCGGCGCCAGCTCCGGCACGCGTACCTCTTCTCCAGCATCAGCTGGGAGCACTGTAAGGGCATCTCCTTCAAAAGAAGCAATATCTGTAGATGAACCCATCTGAGCAACGACATTGCATAATGGCCCAAACAGTGGGAGTTGACCACCAGAGAGCTGATGCAATCCGTTCTTTATGGCCTCATGGAGAGTCTTCTTAGGATGCGGCCTTATGAATTGCTGAAGCCATCCAGCATTGATAGTCCTTCCACTCTCCATCCTCTCGAGAGCGGCCACAGCTACACCATGTCCCCCCAGCACCTTGGCATCGTTGCTAATGCCCACCAGGATGCTCGCCAATCCACCAGTCGGCACCATTCTCGCCCAAAAGGCAGTCATTCATTCCTGCAAATCCGATTTGGGAATGTGGGACTCTCTATATTCTGTCAGTTTGGCCTCGCTCTCCCTGTACATGGCCTGAATCGTGGCTAACTCCTCCTCTTTGGCAAGCCTCATGGCCTGCTCCTCCTTTCTCGACTCCTCAAGTGCTAACTTCTCTTGCTCGAGGAGCCCCTTTTCGAGTTGCAAACTGGCAATCTCTTGTTTTAATTTCTTCTCTCGCATAAGAATGCTGGCCATCGCGGTAGTCAACTGCAAAGAATACATGATAGATTTCAGCCAAGGTATCGCAAGACTCAAGAGTAAACGCATTTACACATTGATAGATCTTACCATTTTCAGCGATTCCTCTTCCGTCAAGGTCGCTGCAACTTCCTCAATGATGGGACACTCGATCCTAGTGTCCCCAAAATGATATATGGTGGCGGCACCTGTGTATGTCGACGACCCATCAGTGTCTTCGACAGTGTTCTTCTTCTCCAGCGAAGCCTCGAGTGGTCTAAACCACTCTGGGTGCCGCTCTATTACAGGAATGGCCTCGGGAATTGGGTTCCCCTCTGTTTCCTTGGCTGTAGAGGGGGCAGTTTTTGAAGGATCGACCGCGTCGTCAATTCTCCCCTCCTTCTCGACCAGGGCTTCCTCCTTGGTTAGCTTTTCCATCTCCTCGACGGTGGGTGGCTTTTTCTTCTTGGACTTTACGCCTGCGTCAGACGCCTTTACAAGTCTTCTTAGTTTCCTCTTCTTGGTCACTTTGTTCGACGACCCCTCATCATCTGAATTTTTAATTTCTAAAATCTGGGCGTTACCAGACAATCCAACGGTATCTTTGCTCGATGACATGACCTAAAACAAAGAAAATGCACATGATGAGTTAGTACTTTTTTTCTCCTCGACGCAGACAGGGGGAATGTATTGTTGGACTTTGGTGTAACTGAGGATGGTCTCGAAAGATTCCAGAGCATTAATATCAGCTCTGTACTTTTTGATTTTCTGTTTGTCAGCACTGGTCCAAGTATCTGCTATGACACCTAGTTCATGGGTTTCACGGTGATCCCACGCCACGCAAAACTCTTTTGGTGCCTCCACAAATAAGTAGTTTGGCTTCCATACTGGGGCACCATCGAAGAGTTCTACTCTGTGATCTGCTTTCGACATTATGTTGGTTTTTACATTATACCATTCTTTGTACTTAGTCGAGGGAATGCAGACTTTAAAGAAATACCTCTACACTATTAGTCGAGGTGTGATGTTCTGCAATTCACAGAGTCTCGCAAAACCGAGGACCGGTGTGACTAAGTTACGGGTGAATCGAGCAAGTTGGATGTTATAGTGCTGAACTATTTTACCAAACAGAGGGAAAAGGGGGAATCTTAACCCTAGAAACATGAATCTAGTATACACAGTAATTTTCCCCTCTGGTGAAGTGTCAGCGTGTTCATAATCCAGTGGTGCTCGATAATCTAGATCTAGGGGGAAGTTATATTGGTTGGCGACTTCTTTAGCCTTTGCTTCAGGGTTTATGGTTGATGCAAACACAGATACTGTATGAGCGGCCATATCTACCTCAATATATACACAAATCTAACAAGATTCAGACAAAGCAAAAGGCACATGGGGGTTAAAAATACAAGAGGATTGGGAGACTTACTTCTTCGGAGTTTGATGTACGGCGTTGAGATAATGCTTTCCCGGTGGTAGGTGCTGTAAGCGTTTCCGGCAAGGATGGAGAATTTCTGTCCTTGACACTAGAGTTCGATGCGCCAGGGCAGAACGGTTGGATGGAGTTTGTGGTTGTAATTTTGAAAAAGAGATGAATGACCAGTCTCTAGTCCTTTCCCAACATAAATTTTTTCTTTTTCCATTCTCTCTCCCACGACCTGACGTTTCGGGCAAAGTTTAAGGAGTAATTATGATTGCCCGGTGTCGTTTGGGAATCGTGCGCACTGATGGGGCACGCCTTCCAGGATTTGGGCGGGATTTTGAAGCGGGTTGCGTTCCCGGGTCGGGTTTCGACCCGCGAGTTAAGCCAACAAACCTGCTTAAATTGGGCCGTTTGGACGGTTGGCTATGCAATCAACTTGGGCCAAGTCCAGGTTAGATTTATATTTTGTCAAGTCTTGTATATTTCATATAACTAATACTTGACTGGGGCACTTGACGAGTCCATATCCACCCCCGGTATTGGACCGGCCCAAGAACCGTGTAAGGGGCCCGACCGACTTCAACAGGGCGGTAATGTGTCTAAACCTTAGTAGGATTTGGTTGCCTGATTGTATCTACTTGCCTATAAATAGGGATACAAGTTCCACAATTAAGGTACGCTATCTTAGTTATCAATCAATACACGCATACAATTCCGATTTACTGACTTAAACATCGGAGTGTCTACCCTTGGAAGACGCCCGAGGTTCTTTTTTGCAGGAAACCCTAGTCATAGCTCCGTAGCCGAGCTGGAGACACAAATCCGGGCATCGTCACGCAACATTGTCTTGACGTGGAATGCATCTGAGATGTTTAGCTGGCAAATCATGGCAGATAAAGCTTATATCATCAAGGATCGGTTGATAGGATAATGGTCCTTCAATGTCTCTGTTGGCAACAATGATAATGAGCTAAGAATCTCCCAAAACATTGACATCAGATAGTCCAACTCTTCTACATAACAGTAAAGCTTCCGGAAGAGCTAATAATTCTGCCAAATCAGAATCCCAAACATTAGGGAAATGTCGAGCCACTCCATGAAAGAAGCGACCTTCTGGTGAAACAATATAAACTCCAGCTCCTGCACATTGTCTTGATAGAGATACAACACCATCAAAGGAAACATGAACTGCCCTTTCAGCTCGCCTGATCCCTTGCGGTAATGCAGAAAGAGTTGTTTCATTCCTTTCTGGATGCACTTGGGATAAGACAAAATCATGAACAACCCTACTAGCTTGTAGTACAGTTGAGCATGTACTCGTTTTCATCTGCTCAAAAACTGCCAAGTTCCTCGCCTGCCAAATTCCGGCTAAAATTGCAAAACAGAATACTCAATCAGAAGGTGGAAGATTAAGAAGGAGAGCCCGGGACCATAGATCACGTTGTGGATGTTGATGTAGTCGAACTTTATCGAACAAACATGCAACTTTGAAAGTTTGAACAACAAAGGGGCAATCAAAAAAGATGTGGTAGTTATGATTGCCGATCTGATTACATAAGCTACAAGTATCATCAGGGTCCAAATGTCGAATTCTGAGATTGTCTGGAGTTGGCAGAGAGTTACTGCATAACCTCCTTGCAAATAGTAACACTCTTTGAGGAAGCTTCATACGCCATAGATTGCTCCATACATGATCACAGACACCAAGTGGTGACATGTCTATTTCAGATCCATCCAAGCAGAAATGTGGATGATTCAATATCTGATAGTATGCTGATCGAACAGTATGTTTCCCTTTTTTGGTATAGTGCCAATCCATCTATCTGGTGACTGTGTGTGGGGAATTGCAATGGGTAAGGTGGAATCTGCTTCAGCTTGCGGGAAAATGCTTATGATGAGATCACGGTTCCAATCTGTACCTTCAGGACTGAAAAGATCAGAGACAGTAACCATTCCATTGGTTTCTGATGGAGAAATGGAGGTTCGAAAGGATGTTTCCAAAGGTAGCCATTTATCAGACCAAATTTTAGTCTGACGTCCGCTTCTAATTTGCTTCCTGCAACCCAACTCCAAGACTTTCTGGCCTTCAAGAATGCTCCTCCAAGTCCAGGATGGTCTTGACCCTAAGGTAGCTTCAAACAGATTCTGATGAGGGTAGTATTTTGCCTTCAAAACCTTTGCTAAGAGGGAGTGAGGATCTGTCAACAGTCTCCATGCGTGCTTGCTGAGCATTACCAAGTTGAATGCTTTTAAGTCTCGAAAACGCTGACCTCCATCCTTCTTGTTTTTGGACAATTGCTTCCAGGAACACCATTGGATTTTCCTTCTATTGCTTGAATCTCCCCAGAAGTAGTTGTTGCATAAAGACTGCAGATCATGGAGGGTAGAATCTGTCAGTAGAAAAAAAACATGGCATAGGAGGGGATCGCTTGAAGGACCGCTTTAATGAGGATTTCCTTTCCAGCTCTGGACAAAGTTCGGGAACTCCATCCTTGTATTTTACTCCAAACATGATCTTTGATGCTTGCAAAAATCTCCTGCTTGTTTCTTCCCAAAATTGAAGGTAGTTCAAGGTATTTTCCAGGGCATTCGACTTCCGACATGCCTAAAATGTTACATATAGACAATCTATCACATGGAAGAACATTAGGGCTAAATAGAATACCGGACTTTTCCTGATTTATTTGCTGGCCGGAAACACGTTCGCATAGCTTGATCACCCAGTTCAAATAACCAGCTTCCTCTTCCAAAGCTTCACCAAATAATAATGTGTCATCGCAAAAAACAAATGAGATACTGAAGGTGCTTGACGAGTAACTCCAATTCCATGAATACGACCACATTTCTGTAAATCTTGAAGCAAACATGAGAAAACCTCTGAACAAATTATGAAAAGGTAAGGTGACAGAAGGTCGCTCGCCTAATGCCTCTTTCCGGGACTAGATTACAGAATTGCTGGCCATTTAAAATAAAAGAGAAACGAGTGGATGAAAAATACATTCAGAAATCAAATTGACAAATTGTTCTCCAAAACCTAAAGCAAGTAAAACGGATTTGGGAAAGCCCCCATTCCACTCTATCAAAAGCCTTACTCATGTCAAGCTTGATTAGACATTAGTCCTTTTGGCCCTTTGTAAGAGATTTCATATGGTGGTAGGTTTCGTAAGCAAGAAGGATATTATCAGTAATAATACGACCCGGGACAAAAGCAGATTAGGAAATAGAAATCATAGAAGGAAGGACTGAACGTAACCTATTCGAAATGACCTTAAAACATACTTTATATACTACATTACAAAGGGAAATTGGACGAAACTCAGTAATAAATTCTGGTTGATGGACTTTAGGGAGTAAAACAATGTGTGTGAAATTCATTTTACGATCAAAGATTCCAGAATTTAAGAAACTAAGGACAAAAGAAGTGATAGCAGAATCAACAATATTCCAGAATTTTTTGAAAAAGACGGGACTCATACCATCGGGTCCAGGAGATTTGAAGGATGACATTTCTTTTAGAGCTTTTACAACCTCATCCGCCGTCCGCCATGTAGGTTCGCGTTAAGTAGTCGTTCATATCCATCGTCACTTTTGGAATTAAACTCCGACTCTAACGGACTTGATGAAGTAAAAAGACTCCCATGGTAATCCATAATAAGCTTCTCCAACTCAGCAATATTTTCTCTCATAACTCCAGTATTATCCCTCAAACCAGCAATATGATTAGTAGCTTTTCGCTTGCTGGCATAGGCATGAAAAAATTTAGTGTTACGATCTCCCACTTGGTACCAACGTTGCTTGGCTCGTTGCTTCCACTTCAAGTTTTCACGTTGCAATAATAGGTCCAACTCCCGTTCTAAGTCACCAAGCTTTGATCGTCTTTGATCATCAATTCTGCCTCGTTGCAGAGAAAAAATTTCCTTCTTTAACTCCTCAATTCTCCTCTAAAAGTCAGTTTTGTGGGATTTACTCCAATTCATCAAACCAAGATGCACATTATCTAATTTTTCTCCCAAAGAACTGAGATCATCACGCCAGCTATATTCAATAACGTTAGCACAGTCTTCGGTTTTAATCCGTCTAGCCAACTTTCGGCTCTGATAGCACTTGTTTGAAAATCTGACCCGAGAAATAAGGCCCAAAGGGTTCCAATAACGAGCACAATAAATAAGTAGGAAATCAACCTCAACCTAAAACCTAAAAGTAATAAGTTTTATGACCAACTTACTTATTAATTATTCTCTATTGGTACCAAATACCGATATAGAACAAATAACTTATTCATATCCTTAACAATCTCCCCGTCATAAGTAACTCATGATAAGCACATCATTATTCTGATACCCATTAAAGCGACAAGTTCAATGTAATGTTTGTCTCACGAAATTCGAGAAGGAAATTTTCAGAGTTGGTGAGCTGCTTCTTTCCACGGTTCTATTTTTAATTCTTTTTTCCATTATTTAATTGCAATGCGCCAAGTGATATACTTTCTTCTTTGTTTTATATTTTGGGTTTTTGTTTTTTCTTTTCTTATAAGGGTGAAACCTTTATTCTGCCATGATTGAATTGAAAGATCAATTAATAAATAATAACTATCGTTTTGTTCGTTATTTATGAAGGAAATTTTCTTTTTTTTTCATTATTTATTTTGATAAGTATGTATGAAATTAATTTATATATGATAACTACCGTTTTTTTCTTTCTGTAATCTTCAAAACTTCTTGAGAGCATTCAATATTGAATTTTCACTAGGTCGCAAGAGATATTAATTTCTGTTTTTCGTCTTTTTTTTTTACCGGAAAAACTTGCTTCAACATTACTGAGAAAAGTCATGGCAAACCAAAATTGTTTGATTTTTTAGAAAGGATTTTCTCTTTCCTCTTTTCCTTTTCCAGCACAACTCCTAGCTGTCAAGGATACATTTCTGTTATATTAGGTAATTTGTTGCCCCCCTTTCTGATAACGGGAATCACATTTTGTTTCAGGGAATTTCTCACTTTCTGATATGTATCATGCTTCGCAGTCGTCGCGCCCCTAATAGTGCTTCTTTCCATTGGAAGTCCTCCAGCTGTCGTGCTTATCATAATCCCAACTCTGCATCGCTTTCTCTCCTTTTCGGCTTGTATGCCTATTTCAGTAAAGGTTTAATAAGTTTCTCTTGCTTCATACAAGCTTTGTGGTTGTAATGTCTTTGTCCATTTCTTGCCTGTTTAAGAGCTGTCTACTGAAGATTTCTGTCTCGAAACAAAAGAGGCTAGTATTTTGTCCGTTATCATTATTACCTTACATGTTGGCTATAAACCGAAGTACTATTTGAAGTGAAATATTATTATAGGCGTAGAAAAATACCTTTGAGATTATGTGTGTTATATGTTAATGTAAAGTTGATGGGTGTCAAGACCACAAAAATAAACCTACTTAAATTTGTAGTAAGTGATAAGAAGGGTTGATCTCACAGAGACAAGAAATACTTAATGAAATTGGGATCTAGTACAAGAACACAAAGCGGAAGTAAAAACACTAAATTGGCAAGTGAGTTTATGACTTGGCAAAGTGATAGTAGCTTAGGGTCGTTCTCCACTCTACTCTACATACATATGTCTTGATTCTTTTAGCTCTCTATGTGGTATGAAACTGTATTCAATCAGGCATATAAACACTGTAAGTCACTTCCGATGTTCCCGACAGTAGTTCTAATAGTAACCAGTAAAGTAACTTCTACTGTTGACTCGAAATTACTACTAAGTCATTAAGATCTTCGGCCCTTATGATTGACTCCTGCCAAACAACTAACTTCCGTTGTTGTTTGAAACCTTGGGCTGTTACCCCCTCGTTACCGGTTAATCCTAGATGTTCTAGATTAAGTTTACCCTTTCGGGAGTCTTTTAACATGCAAGCACAATTAGTTTGAATGACCTCTTCAACCTAAAAAGATAATTTAAACTCTAGAATTAAGCATAGAAATATCATCCGAGAGCATAAATTAAAACATAATTATATAGAATAGAGGGATTAGACCCTAGAAATGAGTTTAGCTACTCATGGAGTGGAGCTCAAACACCACAAAGTTCAAGTGTTGAGACTCCATCCTGATTATAACAGAAAGAGAAGAAAACAAGGGAAGAGTAAAGTCAGAGAAGTGCAGCTGACTTTGCAGAGTCAGTTTCTCACTTCTCCAAGTTACACCCCTTAGGTTACCTTCCAGAGTTATACTCTGTTTCTTCCTAACTGAACTAAACCACACTATCTAATCTACTTCTTTGAATCTGATGTTCTTCGATGCCCTCTTCTTCATGCTACTGCTGCCTTTTATAGAGATTGGGAGAAAGATCTTGCTTAGCCACGTTGGTTTCCTCTTTATCCGATAGGTTTTATGTAAAAGAGAGGAGACCCATACTTTCTCCAACTTCCCCCTTACCTCTAATCATCATTTGGAAGGATTTGGTTGAGCTAATTCAGTTTTAAGGCACATCAATCTTCTTCCAATGTCAGCAACATCACTTCACCAACGGCTCTTCTTCCTTAGCTTCGAAGGATTCCTTCAATTCTGCTTCCTTCCCACCGGATTCTTCCCTTTCTTCGGACCTTGCACTTCAGCCCCTGCAACATCTTCCAATTTGGCCCAAAACTTCACCAATAATCTGCCACATTTTGACCATTTTTCTGCTCCTATTGCATTTCAGCCCCTGGATTACCACAAGTCAGCAAATTAGCCTATAAATATATATGCCTAACTTAATTGACCTACAATGAAAGTATAAAGAGGTAAATTATATGCCAAAAAATATAGTACGAAATGCACTCATCAACTCCCCCAAACTT